CTGACACTTAAATTTCCCTCTGGGATGCATTGACCGGGTAAGAGGCGAAAGGCCCTGCTGTTCTCACACATAAGCACACACGGCCCAGCAGTCGGAGGAAAACTCAGGTGCCGTCCCCGCAGGGCCTTTTTCCAACGACTTCGAATCGATGCAGTAAAATAAAGCAAAATGCATAATAATGCGCCGGCTTCTCCGGTGGGAGCGGAGGAAAGAAAAACCGAGAAAGGAGGATAGAGTGGCAAAGGTTTCCCTGCTTCTCTCCATCTCTGAAACACCCCACGCTGCTCTCAGTGGCCAAGCACAGAGGAGGATGTTCGGAGGATGAGAATCAATAAAAGCGAGACCCCACCACCAACCACCTGGCCAAAGGCTCGCCGTGCTCGTGCACACTTCGTCCTTCTGGTGTTCCTTCCTACGCCCAGCCTCGGCTCGGAGGAGGGCGGCCAGAGGAGCGGTCAAAATGTTTCGTTCTCTGCCCGTTCCAATCTTCGGTGCAAAGTTTCCGCCAGCGGGGCCTTTTTAACCGATTCGGCGCGGAAAACCTCGGCGGTTTTTACATGCCGTGGGCGGTGCTGTGCAAAATGAAAAGGTGCGCGAAGCAAAAGGTCAGGTCAGCGAAGGTTTACTCAAAGAGAAAAAAACAAAGTGTTCATTTTTTGTTTTTCATTGTTCGAATCGAGTTCTTGCAGAAAAAGGAAAAGACTCTCACACACCAAGCGGCCTCTTTTCATCTTTTTTACCTTTTATACTATTGTCATTGCATGTCTGGCAACCTATGCTTCCCATTCGCTTGCCCATTTAAACAAAAAACTAACGGGGATGTTGATTCTTCCCCCCCAAAACATTGAATAAAAGGGCCGAATCAGATTTTTTTCTCGGCCACTCCCTGAAAAAGGAGGAGTTTCTTCGGTTGCAACATAAACTCAACGTCATTCACGAGGTCCTCGGCATCAGTCGACATCAAAATATGACTCAACGCTCCCTCCCCTCTGACACACTGTTCTGGCAGCATATGGCAAAACAACATAAAAAAAAAAACACCTAAAAAAAACCCCACCCTTAATGCGCTCCAACTGCGCTGAGCACCGGGGCCCAGGGGTCAGCGCGGCTTCTACTGCCCCACCTGAGTGGGTTGGGCGACCACTCGACACCACTTGGCCACAGAGGAGACGGGGGGGGGGGGGGGGGG